GAGAGTTTTTAATATTTATTTTTTAGTTCTCGGCGGACACAACATCTTTGTTGGTATGTGGTGCTGAGGATCGAACCTGGGCCGCATGCATGCCAGGCGAGTGCGCTACTGCTTGAGCCACATCCCCAGCCCCAGAAAATATTTCTTAACAGTATGCAAAAGGCACTTAGTGTAAAAGTCTTCTACATTCATCAAATGGCACCAAAATAAAGTGAAAAGGCAAGCAACTAAATGGGGGAAGATATTTGGAATACTTGTATTCAAAAAGGACTTGACATAGTCCATTTCTATTGTTACAACAAAAATTGGGTGATTTGTAAATAATAGAAACTTATTTCTTTTAATATTTATTTTTTAGTTTTTGGTGGACACAAGATCTTTATTTTATTTTTATGTGGTGCTGAGGATCGAACCTAGCGCCCTGCACATGCCAGTAAAGCACGCTACCGCTTGAGCCACATCCCCAGCCCTAGAAAGTTATTTCTCATGGTTCTGGAGACTGGGTAGCCCAAGATTACTGTGCCAATCAATCTGGTGTCCAATAAGTGCTCACTCTCTTGATTTTACATGGAACCTTGTTGCTGGATCCTCTGGAAGGGAGTAACATTGTCTCCACATAGGTGAAGGGTAAAAGAGAAGGAGGGTCAGGCAAACTTTGTGTTAAGCCTCATTTATAAAGGTATTAATTCCATTCTACAGTCTAATCATTACCTCTTAAGAGTATCACTTTGAGATTTTAGTTTCAATATCTAAGAGAGGAGAATTCATATCCAGAAAATATGTCCACAAGAAAATGACAGACAATCCAACAAAACAAAAACACCAAAAGCCAAGTAAGACTCTTGAACAGGCACTTTGAGAGAGGATATCTAGATATCCAAAAACATGAAAATGAGTTCAACCTCAATAACTTGGGAAATGCTAATTTGTTGAGAGCCACAGCCAAAGCGGCCCCAGCAAACTTCCAGCTGATTGGCTCCTCTGCGGTGATGCTCATTGGGCTGTTTCCCCGCCCTTTCAGGCCATGGAGCTGCTCATTGGGAGACTCTTTTGGCTCCACCCACATGACCCAGCCAATTGGCCTCAAGAGCGGGAGGAGTGGGGGTTGAGAGGCTCGCTGGAAGCCGGTGGTGGCAATTGGGCTCTGAGGGAATTCCTGAAGAGCTCCTGTGGTGCAGTGTGTTTCTAAAAAGTTCGTTTCTGCTTGACTAGTGGCTTGTGAATTGTTCCCAGCCAGACTGTGGCATTTGGTGGCCTACACGGGGAACGACTGAGGGTAAATGATAAGGTAAATTGCTTGCCCCTGAGGGCAGGGCGAGAGGATGGGTAGCCATTTTAAGATTCTTCTTTCGTTTTGTTTTGCTTTTGTTTTAAGTTGCCTGTCCCTGTAGATGGGTGAGACGGAAGAAAAACTGCTCACATCTGAGGAAAAAACTATTTGCGTCTGAGGAACAGATAGGGAGAAAGGACGGATGGACATTTCAGGAGGATAGAGAGGCTGATATAATGAATTTTTGTTCCATTTTTGTTTTATTCTGTTTTGGTTTTGTTTGGTGTTATCTTGTTGGGTTGTGTTATCTTTATAATAGAAATATGGGATCAGGAATTAGTAAAAAACAAACCGAAAGAGTGTTAAGTAAATTATTAGAGGAAGGAGGCATCCCAGTAAAACCAAGAACAGTTAGGGCATAGGTCGATACAATACAAAAATGTAGCCCATGGCTTTTTAAGGAGGAGTTGTTGAATATATCACAATGGGACCATCATGGTGAAGATTTAAGGGAGAGGGAAAAGAAACACCCAGGAACTCTGCCAGTTGGCACATTGCCATTATGGATGATACGATTTTGTTTGCCTAGTCCAAAGCCTTCAGTTCAGACTATGGTAGAAGACATGTTAGATCAAGTAAAAGAGAAGGTCTCTCGAGCTAGTCAGACAGAGGAAGAAAATTTAAAGGAGGAAAAGCCATCAGGGGAGAAGTTAAGACAGGAGGCTGACGCCTTGAGGTCAGCTCATCCGATGATGGGTAAGGACCATATGTAGTATTGGACAAAGGTAGGCACTGTCCCTAAGCCACATGCTTGTTGTTTAATTAAACAGAGAGGGGGGAGATGTTGAGAGCCACAGCCGAAGTGGCCCCAGCAAACTTCCAGCTAATTGGCTCACAGCGGCCCCAGCAAACTTCCAGCTGATTGGCTACTCTGTGGTGATGCTCATTGGGCTGTTTCCCCGACGTTTCAGACCACGGAGCTGCTCATTGGGGAACTATTTTGGCTCTCCCCGTGACCCAGCCAATCGGCCTCAGGAACGGGAGGAGTCGGGGTTGAGAGGCTCACTGTAAGCTAGTGGTGGCAGTTGGGCTCTGAGGGAATTCCTGAAGAGCTCGTGTGGTGCGGCGTGTGTGTTCTAAAAATAAAGTTCATTTCTGCTTGACAAGTGGCTCATGATTGTGCCCAGCCAGACTGCGGCACTAATTAATTTTTTTTTTTTTGAGGGGATGCCCTAGATTGAACTCAGGGGCACATGGTCCCTGAGCCACATCTCCAGCTCTATATTGTATTTTATTTAGAGACAGGGTCTCACTGAATTGTTTAGTGCCTTGCTTTTGCTGAGGCTGACTTTGGAGTCAGGTAGCCTCCTAAGCCCTGTAATTATAGGCATGTGCCTCCTCACTTGGCAGGAAATGCTAATTAAAATTTCAGTGAGCCAGGAGCGATGGCACATGCCTGTAATCCCAGCAGCTCTGGAGGCTGAGGCAGGAGGCAAAACCAGCTTCAGCAACTACTGGTGACCCTGTCTCTAAATAAAATATAAAAAAGGGCTGGTTATGTGGCTCAATGATCAAGTGCCCTGGTTTCAATCCCTGGTATTAAATAAATTAATTAAATAAAAATTAAATAAATAGAGCCACAGCCAGATATGGCTGTACCCCAAGAGTTGGCAGAAATTATAAAAATTTTTACTAGTAATTATTGGTTAAGATGTCGGGCAACTAAAATGCTCACACATTGCTGGTGGAAGTATAAACTGAAATAACCACCTTCTAAAATTGTTCAACATTTTCTACTTAAGTTTTATGTATATATGCAAGCAATTACATGTGTGCATATGTTACAAAAATAAGAACATTAACAGTAGTCTTATTCCTAATAGCCCCTGTTGCAAGTGTCACTATTAATAATTACTCAGAGGCAGATTGTCTTTAAATACAAGTGTATATTAGATTACACCAATCATCAAACAATTAATGCAAAAAGTGTGGGGTGTGCTGGAGCACCTCAATTTGCATTCAATACACACTAATTAAGCACTACAAGCAAGTCACACAATCCTAGGGCAACCACAAGCCCCAAAGTCCCTCTGATGCCACCAGACTTCTCTTAGCCAAAGAGCAGACCTTGTCATTATATGCTGGTTCTCTCCAGCCAATGGTTGGATGTCAGGGAATGGTGGAGTCCATCTGGGGACAGACAGCAAGGCTGCCAGTCTCACTGACGTCCTCAGAGTGAAGCTCTTCAATGTTGCAGAACAGGCGGTGTATTTAAAGTTCCAAGTTGGTGGTGTATGTTGGTGATTAGTTACACCCAGTGAGAGTCAATGTCCATTGATTTATGTCCAGTGAGATGATGTAATTGTGACTGGGCATGTTCTTTGCGCATGTCCATGGAGCTATGCTTCCTGTCAATTGCAACCAGACATGATTACGCATGCCTGTGGCTGCCATTCCTTATGGCTAGCAACTTAGTGAGTCCCAGCATGTCTATGGCACATGCTCCTTACAGTCCCTAATTGGAAACGATTTAGGACCATCAATCATAAATGATCAAATTGTAGTATACTCATTAAACATAGTACTACGGAGCAGGCAAAAGGAATAAACAACCACACAAATCATGGATGCATCTTCAAAACAATGTTGAATGAAAAAATACTCAAACTTGACTTTGGCAAGTTAATCTCATTATTTATATCTCAAAGATATAATGTATTTCTTAAAGGTGCGTTCAAGATTAATGGAGCCCAGTAGGATGGCATCCCCATCCGCTGGGGTGGGAATGTGGGTTGAAGCAGGAGGATCATGAGTTCAAAGCCAGCCTCAGCAAAAGCGAGGCGCTAAGAAACTCAGTGAGACCCTGTCTCTAAATAAAATACAAAATAGGGCTGGGGATCTGGCTCAGTGGTTGAGTACCCCTGAGTTTCCCTAGTCCACAAAAAAAAAAAAAGCATTAATTGGAATAATAAATGAAATGTCAGGTATTATTTATTATGTTGTCTTGACAGGCCACCTTTCTGCAAACAGCCATTAAAGAATAGAGCAGAACACTTGTAGCGCCATCTAACGTCCCTGACAGCCTACCCCAAACTCCTTTTCCACAGGATCTGTTTCTTTAAGAAGTCAACCATAATTGGAGTAAAGGGGATGCTGGGAGTGAATGTCCTCTCTTCTTGGTCCTGGGGCATGACGGGAAAAGGGGGCGGAGACTAGTGCTGGCAGGGTCCACTGAATTCAGGTCTGAGGCATGACGGGAAATAAGGGCGGAGACAGGGCTCTGAAGGCTCCCTGAGCTCAGGTCCGGGGCATGATGGGAGAGAAGGGTGGAGACCAGGGCTGGCAAGGTCCACTCAGCTCAGTTTATGGCATGACGGGAAAGAAGGGCGGAGACCAGGGTTGGACAGGTCCACTGGGCTCAAGTCTCGGGCATGACGGGAAAGAAGGGCGGAGAACAGGGTTGCATACGCGCCCTTGGCCGAATATTGCGTTAAGCTGGATCCCGCAGAATTCCAGTAGGAGAAAATACTGTTCCTGCCAGCGCGAGGCCTTAGCTCCTGTTCTGCGTTCTCCGCTCGGGACTCCTCTGGGAACCGGGAGGCAACTGAAGGTGGGGCGCCGCGGGGAGGGCTGGCGGGCGGGGGGGCGGAGCGCAGCCGCGCCACGTGACAAGGAGGCGCTGGGCGGGCTGCGCGGCAGCGGTGGCGTGCTCCTACAGCAGAGGTCTCCTGGGGACGTGCTGACAGGCTAGCGGGTCCAATGCTCTTCCTCCAAGACTGGGTTGCGGCGTCGGTTCTTACTGACGGGCACGAGACTTCTTGGTGGGAATGGGAAGTTGGGAACTCATGCAATAACTCGGAGGAGGGATGAGCGCCCTTAGGTGGTTTAAACTGTGGCAAGTGGTCAAAAGTTCTTAAGACTTCTTTGGCACGGACTTTAAGAGTAGTTGTCAGTTTCCTTGTTTGTCTTGTTTGGATAGGTTCCCATTTGGTTCAACTTTAATACGCATTTTTTTTTAGAGGAAGGGAAGCTGACTTGAATGGCCAAGTTTCTTGTTTACAGGATGGCGTTACCTGCATTCAGAGGGGCCTGACCCCAATGGAGACGCTGAAAGGTACAAGTGACCCACGTTAAGGGCATATTGTTGTGATGGGGTCTGGACCTCTGAACCAGCATTAGACTAAGAATTGGCATCCTTGAAGGGTTCAAGTGAAGGGTGAGTTAGAGATATGGGGAGGTTACTGTGTCCCTCTTTAAGAAATAAGACCTCTAGGTCAGTACTCCTGGAATTAGGAACTGTATTTCTTGAATCCATTCTTCTGAAAGCTTGGTAACTTCCTCTCACAGCTCGGTCTGCTATTCTAATTTCTTTTGCAACCTTAAACATTGGAGAAATTAGTGCTTGTCTTTAACGGGGAAGTTCAAGCTGTTGATAGAAGACTGTTTTCTTATGTTAAGGTAGTTGCTAAAGGAGAGAAAGCAGGAAGAAAAAAAGAACAGTTAGTCATGGTTCCAGAGGGTTGTTTTTCAAATGTTCAATCTTGACACTTTTAACATTGATAAAGGGGAGGATTCCCCCTCCCCATAAAAACAACAACCAACAAAACAAAACAAAAAAACACTAAATAGCTGTGTACTGATCGTGTATTTTTGTTTTAGGAGTCCAACTATCCATTGCCAAGAAGAAATCTATTGGTTATAAAACTAGAACGCCTCTACATAAAAAAGTAGAATGAAAGAACCTTTGGATGGTGGATGTGTCAAAGCAATGATACCTCAACAGGGGCTTCTGGACAAAATTAAAGAAGAACCTGACAATGCTCAAGTAAACTTTTCCTTTTGAAAAAGTGCCCCCCCCTTCTTGTCTACTTTTGAATTGAAAAATTTACGTAACCAGTTTAAGGCTTATAAACTAAAACAAATATTCTTTCCCCCTTAGGTGGGTGCTTTGGTTTGATTTTGTACTCTCAAAGTTCATGTGTTGGATGCATAATTAACCAATGCAATGTTGTTGGGGGTTGAGGCCTAATACCAGATAATTAGGTCATGAGGACTTCTGTCCTCAAGGATGGATTGATGCCATGGAGTGGGTTAGTTATTGCAAGAGAGGCCTTGTTATAAAAGCCAGTTCAGCCCTCTTTTGCTTCTTGCTCTTTCTTGGATCCTCTGTTGCATTTTCTTGTGATGTAGCACATAAGACCCTGACTAGGTATAACCCTTATATCTTGGATTTCACAGGCTCCAGAACTGTAATAAATTTCTTTTCCTTATGAATTATCCAGTCTGTGGTGTTCACTTATAGCAACACAAAATGGAGTAAGACAATGGGTTAATCAGATTTCTGTGCTTTGAATGATGAAATATCTTGGTAACCCTGTACTATTTTGTTTTGTAAAAAGAAAATGATATGAATTATCATTTTTTTTCATATTTGGCATTTAAAAAAAAAAGTCTCTTACATCTGATATCACTTTCTTGTTCTGTTAGGTATTTGTTGTCTATTGTATGCTCTGGGGCCCCAGAAATGAGTAGTTACCTTAGTCTCCTAACTCGTAGAATGTACTAATTAGTAAAGAAGACAGATTATACAAGTATTGGCCAACTAAAAAAAATATTTATATATGTATGGCTACAAACTATAACAAATGCTTTAGAAGAAAAGCCTGAAAAATGGGCACTCTGACCTACTTTTGGTCAGGGGATAGGAGTAGTTACAGAAGGCCTCCCAGAGGGAAGGATTTGTAAGCTAAATTGTGAAGAACAAATTGACTAGGCAACTGGCATGAAGAAGAGTGTTCAAAACAGTCCTGAGTTGGAAAGATACATGGTTCTTTTGGGAACTTCAAGACCAGTGAATCTGGAACAGAAAAGTATTAAAATGATAATGATGGTGAACAACAACAATAACAGATGGTATGGGGCTGGAGTTGTGGCTCAGTGGTAGAACATTTGCCTGGCATGTGTGAGGCCCTGGGTTCAATCTTCAGCACCACATATAAATAATTAAAATAAAAAGATCCATTGACAACTAAAAAAGAATTTTAAAAAACCAGATGGTATTAGTGTATCCATATGCAGTATATGTTGTGTCATAATAATATGATATAATTATTAATAACTTATTATATGTACTTAGAGCTTGAACACTGTTGCAAGCAGTTTACATACATGAATCCTCTTGGTGATTGCAACTTTTGGGTTAAATAGGAGCAGACATACATAAGAAATAGATGGTAGTTTGTTAAAAGGTCACACAATTAAGGATACCATCTGTCTTATATGTTTTCTGTTGCTATAACAGAATACCTGAAACTGGTTGATTTATAAATAAGTTTATTTTGGCTCACATCTGGAGGCTGTGAGTCTAAGAACATGTTATTAGTATCTGCTTGACTTCTGGTGAGTGCATAGTATTGTCTTATCTCATAGTGGAAAAGTGGAAGGGCAAGCATATGAGCTTGGAAGTTACAAAATTTAAACCCTGCTTTATAACAACACATTCAATAACTAATTCAGTCCTATAAGAAAGACATCAATCCCTCTTAGTGATCTGATCACCATTTTATAATGTCACCACCTCTCAATACTTTTTCAGTGAAAATCAAATTTCAACGTAAGTTTCAGAGGGGATGGATCATATTCAAACTGTAGCACTAAGTCATTTCATATTGCTATAACAAAATACCATAGACTGTAAGGTCTATAAATGACAGATGAATTTCCCTATGGTTCTGGAGGCTAGCAGTTTGAAATCAGGATGCCACATGATTGGGTTTTGGGGGAAGAGCCAATTTCTTGTAGCCTTAGGTGGTGAAAAAGCTAGCTAGTTCTCTAGCCTCTTTTTTTTAATATTTATTTTTTTAGATGTAGATGGACATAACATAATGCCTTTATTTTTATGTGGTGCTGAGGATCGAACCTGGGTCCTGCCTGTGCTAGGCAAGCACTCTACCGCTGAGCCACAATCCCAGCCCCTCTAGCCTCTTTTTTATAAGGGCACCAATGCTGATTATGAGGTCTCTACCCTCATGACCTAATTACCTCACAGAGGGCTCACCTCCAGATGTCACCTAAGAGATTATAAGGATTTCAACTTATAAATTCGGGAGGAGGGGACATAGACATCCAGTGTATTGCAGATATCTTAGTAGTAATGAAATAACATAACCAAAGACAGTGGAATCATTGACAGTGTCAGATTTAACTAAGGCCAAGTAAGATAGAAACCTAAAAGTGTTTATTGAACTAGGTAATTTGAGATGATTGGTTATCTTAAATAATTTCTGATAAACTAGTAGCCTGATTGTTTCTGGTTCGGGAAGAAATTAAAGTGAGGAAGTAGAGAAAGAATGAAGTACATTTATTGAAGTTTGGTGGACTAGAGAGGGGAGAGGGAGGGGAGTATATTCATTTATAATTCGAGGGGAAGAAACCAATATGGAGATGGAGAGAGGTGGTAGATAAAGGGAGGTAGGATAGAGTGCTAGAAGAAGGAAGAGAAAAATCTTGAACACAAGCACTGTTTAAGAAGGTTGCCTTTTCCTGTGAGTTAAGAAAAATTTGCTGATCAGTTTAGAGATAGCGGGAATCAGGATGTTGAGGAACTTATTGCTTAGTTGCTTGTTTTTAATTGATTAAATTGAAACATTAGTGAGCAGGAAGTATGTGAGGTATGGTTTTGAGGGTAATGAAGGTTTAGAATAGTTATTTTGCAAAATAAAAGAAACTGACCAGGGAAATATAATAAGAATGTAAGAAAAATATTAGAGATTGAGTAGTTAATAAGGCAAAACTGAGGAAGGTATATATTAGTACTTTTAACGTCTACCTCTGAGTGCCAGTAAATAAATATCAAGTAATGTTTAAGACCATTCACTTTGGATGGAATGGATTTGGATTTATTCATTCATAAAATATTTATTATGGCCACTAAGTATAAGAGCTGGTATTTTTGGGTATACATCATTATGCTACACACTTTATGTTAAATCATTTGTTTTCTGCTAATGGTCTATGGGTAATATCTTTATTTTACAGTTAAGGAAATTGAAATGAAGAATGTTTAAGTAACTTGAATAAGAGCCAAGATAATGTTTCTGTCTGCTGTCAGAAACCATAGTTTTCTCTGTTGTTTACTATGCCTGGTATCGGATATACAGAGATGAAAATAATGAAAATACAGATACGGTCCTTGTCCATAATGGACATAGTCCTTTCAGTCTAGTGTGTTAGCCATTAATCACATTACCATTCCTCAAAATATGAAATAATGTTATAAGTGCTATGAGAGAAAGCAGATGAAAGAGAACTGAAGAAAACTTAATTTCAGCTGGGGACCAGTGTTTGAATTCATCCTATCAGTTATATTGTATTTGTACATCTGTGAGAGAGAGCATGAATTTTGGAAGAGAGACCTGGGTTTGATTTTCATACTTAGTATTTTTGTTACCTTGGACAAGTTACGGAACATCTCTAAACTTTACTTTCCTTTTCTATAAAGATTGTATGATAGTTATCTTTTAAAAAAATTTTTTATTTGTTCTTTTTAGTTATATATGACAATAGAATGTATTTTGATATATCATACATATATGGAGTATAATATCTCATTTTTTGTGTTTGTACATGATGTGGAGTTACACTGGTTGGGTATACATATAAGACATAGGAAAGTTATGTCTGATTCATTCTACTGTCTTTCCTATTCCCATGCCCTATCCCTTCCCTTCCTTTTACGAACATTGGCCTTGGGTTTTTGGGATTGACTTATTTCACTTAGCATGATAGTCTCCAGTTCTGTCCATTTACTGGCAAATGCCATAATTTAGTTCTTTTGGGCTTAGTAATATTTTCTTGTTTGTATGTACCACATTTTCTTTATCCATTCATCAGTTGAAGGACACCTAGGCTGGTCCCATAGCTTCGCTATTGTGAATTGAGCTGCTATAAACATTGTTATGGGTATGTTGCTGTAGTATGCTGATTTTAAGTCCTTTGGGTATAAACTGAGGAGTGGGATAACTGGATCAAATGGTGATTCCATTTTAGGTTTTCTGAGGAAGCTCCCTACTGTTTTCCAGGGATTGCACCAATTTGTAGTCCCATCAGCAATGTATGAGACTGTGTTTTTTCCCACATCCTCACTAATATTTATTGTTTTTTGTATTCTTTTTTTAATATTTATTTTTTTAGTTATAGGTGGACACAATATCTTCATTAAAAAAATTTTTTTTTTTAATATGGTTCTGAGGATTGAACCCAGTGCCTACCATGGACTGAACACATGGTAGGCAAGCGCTCTACCTCTGAGACACAACCCTAGCCTGTTACTTGTATTCTTGATAATTGCCATTCTGACTGGAGTGAGATGAAATCTAGTGTAGTTTTAATTTGAATTTCTCTAATTGCTAGAGATGTTAACATTTTTTTCATATATTTGTGGACTGATTGTATTTATCTTTTTTT